GGACGAAATCTCATGTCATGAGAATTGTCAATTAATCCGATGAAAAAAATTAATTTTCATAATTAATTATTAATCTCTCTCATCTTACCATCATCTAAATTTCTTTTACGAGCTAATTTGTATTTTCAAGCATTGACCTCTCTCTCGACACGCATTATAACTTTTAAATCTAAAAAATGAATATTTATGATGTCTTTGTTTTTTTTTCGGTCGAAAAATATATTTATGATGTCACTTGCTCTCTTTATTTTCTCACCGGATTGTATACAAATAAATTGTATAGTGCACAAAAATGAAAAAAAAAAGAACTCTTTTCATCGGGCAAATATCCGCCAGTGGATGTTGCATAAGAACAGTCGAAGGGCAATGGCACGCGTGCGAACAGGCTAGTCTTACACTTATAAGAACCGTTTTGATGGATTTTGACATGGCAATCACTTCCGATAGTCAACTTTAGAAATTAATAATTTACATTATAAATCCTCAAATTGTGATATATTTAAAGATCTCTTAATTTTCAAATTGCTATATACATTATCTCTTACATATAATATTGCATCGCACCAAATTTTAATATCTCGTCTTGACCTTCTTCGACTTGTAAAACTAAGATAATAATTCAACTCTTGTTATATAAATCTTATGTCAAAAATTCTAAACATACCACATGTATACGCAAGTTAAGCAATGAAGGTAAGATAATTAACAGTTTTTATGACGGTCAAATAAAAAGATATACCTAACGCAATGACTATTTTCGCGATTCTCCCGTTCAATCAATCAAAAAAAATATTTTACGTGCGGGTCACATTACTAACATGGCATAATAGGCAGTCAGGCAGTACCCATTGCCACGTACAGTGGAATAAATTCTTGAATGTAATCATACAGTGGAATAAATTCTTGAATGTAATCATTAAACAATACTACTTAATCTTGTGCTGGTTACTATGAATACAATGTACACATCAATAGCTCCCAAATGCTGGACCAATTGGAGGGCTCCACCATTGATGGGTTTTTCAATTTGACCTGATAATCATCATTGGGAGAGTTTTTTGGAAGCCTCCACTACATAATGTAGGTGGCTTGGGCAAAGGGAATGAATCCAATCTCTCTTTTGACGAAGTACAATAAAATCGGGTGAATGCTTCCATGTTTCTAGTGGGTCATGAGCCAATTAGAGAGATTTCGCGAGTGTGTAAAATGTGATCAACATGATCAATCAAGCGTGGTAATGGTGCAATCAATAGCTTTCAAGCCATTTCGTAAAATCGACTGAGCTTCGAAGTCAATCGCCCGCCGCAACATCTTGAAAATACCTCCTTTTTCTTGTTACTCTTCTAGCGTCATTCATGACGGCTAGTGCCAAAAGTTTGTGCTGCTAGAGATGGCCGTCGTGACGCATATGGAGGGGAAAATTGTCCAAAAAGTCATCAACTTATTACACTTTTATTAATTCAGTCATAAACATTTTAATTGTGCCAATTGAGTCCATTGGGCCAATTTTGGCTAGAAATTGCTGATGTGGACGTTGGTTGTCCTACATGGCACGAGCCAACATTAGCATGGACAATTTTTAATAATATTTTAATATTTTTCAAATTTTTAATAATTATTTTTTCTTTTCTTCTCTTTTCCTTCTTTACTTTTTTCTTTTTCCCTTTTTCCCTCCGTTGGTTATCGATGACACCGGCAATGGCCAGAGGAGGGGAAAAAAAGAAAAAAAAAAGAGAAGAGAAAAGGAAAAAAATTTAAAAAAAATATAGAAGGAAAAGAGAAGAAAAGAAAAAAATTAATAAAAAATTGGAAAAATATTATAATATTATAAAAAACTGTTGACGTCGGCATTGGCCATGCCATGTAAGATGGCCGACATCCACGTCAACGATATTCGGCCAATTAGCAAAACATGAAAATGTTTATGATTAAATTGACACAATTAAAAGATTTAGAAGTGAATTAACAAAAGCGCAATAGATTTAGAACTCAAAATTATCGACCTCTTTTTTTATTGGAAAAATAATTGTTATCAATGAGAGATAGTTTTCGATACACTCAACATCCAGTATATATATTGTTGTTGAGGTGAATTGTATTAGAAACTTACAAAACTAAAAAGCAGAAAATGGAAAGAGAGTGCAAGAAAAAGGAATTAAAAAAAGAAGAACCTAATCTATTCTATTATATAAAAGCAAAGATGATCACCTATCAGATCACAATCCTCTTTTTCCCCACGAATTATCATTAGGTAGTTTTTTTTTATATAAAAGATAAGAGTTTATGTTTGAACAAATGCGTTGATTAACAATTCTATTTTATCTCTTACATATTGCATTGCAAAAATTTGAATGTTGAAATTTTTTTTTCATTTTCCACGTATATGCATACAATTTCCCGTATTGCGTCAATAAATTCTTTCCATTAAGTAATAATTTACATATTGGTAGTAAGGCGATTTCAGAAAATCTTTTTTTTTTTTTTGGTCGGTAGAAAATCTTTTCAATGTCAATCTTTGTATACACGCAAAGTTTGTACATCTCATCTCCAAAAAAGAAAACTACCTAATCTCCTAATCTATACAGTAGAAAAATAAAATTTCCTTGCAGTACGTAGTATGTGATTTGGGTGATAATTTAACACAAATATGTAGCAAAACCAAATCACGAATTCTGCTGACCAAAAAAAAAAAAATCACGAATTCTAAAATTATCAAAATCGAAGTTGAATTAGGACATATTTGCAAAACGGCCTATATATATATATATATATATATATATATATATATATATATATATATATATATATATATATGTGTGTGTGTGTGTGTATGTATGTATCTAGATCAAATCACATATTCTTAAACTATCCAAATCCATGTTGAATTAGGAAATATTTGCAAAACCATCTATATATATATATATATATATATATATATGTGTGTGTGTGTGTGTGTGTCTAATTCTCACCTAAATCACATATTCTAAAATTTAGTATCATGGACTCCTCACTAAAAAAACTCCCGTCTTGTTCTATCTAGGAACATTCTCCGGCGAAACCACCCATGGGTTCCTTAACCCCGTCACGGGGCGCCTCGACGTGGTGCAAATCCCCGAGCTCGAGTGTCAAGTCGACTGTCTCGCCTCTAAGCACGGATGGCTCCTCCTCTCGTCGAGAGAGACCTCGTCCATCTTCCTCTTCAACCTGATAACCCGAGATCGAATCGATCTCCCTCGGCGTAATCGGCTTATAAGCGCCGGGACATTCACCGCAGCTCCCACGTCCTCGAATTGCACCATCTTCATTGTGAGCACACCTATACACCCTCTCGACAATCGAGTCATAATCGACACATTCACCGTCAGGTTGGACAAAATTTGGACCCGGCATGGTTTTAGCCATGTAAATCCAGATTTCGAGTCAATCTGGCGGGCAGTCTATGCAGAAGGCATCTTGTATTGTATGGACTTGAAGGGAAGAGTAGGTGCATTCAATGTCAAAGGCGGCACATGGAATGCCATCGCTTGCAAGGATAAGTCCATTAAGACATTGCAACTCCATCTAGTGGAATTCAAAGGAGAGATTTTTGCAGCCAAGAGAGGACGCCACGGGATAGTACAGGAATTCTTCAAGCTGAAGGTCAAAGATGATTTGTCTGCGTTGGAGAAAGAGGGGGAAAAGTGCCATAAAAGTCCTAAACCTTTTGCATTAGTGCCAATTTAGTCCTAAACCTTTTTTTGGTGCCAATTCAGTCCTAAACCTTTTAAATTGGTGCCAATTCAATCCTAAATCCTTTGTTTTTGTGCCAATTTAGTCCTTCCGGCCAATTTTGACCGGAATTTGCCGACGTGGACGCCTACCGGCCAGCGATCGGTCACCAGCGCCGACGTGGCGATGACGTGGACAAATTAAATAATATTTTAATATTTTTTTGAATTTTTATATTTTTCCTTTTTTTTTCTTTTTTTTTTCACTTTTTTTTTGGATTTCTCTTTCCTCTGGCCAGTCCGGCGACCGGCCAGTGAGCTCGACCTCACCGGCCACTGGGGAGGGCGACCTCGCTCGGCGAGGCTCGAGCCTCGCCTTGGTCGGGAGAGGCCCGACCTCGCCAGATCCGGCGAGGTCGGGCCTCCCTCGACCATGGCGAGGCTCGAGCCCTCGCCGGAGGCCACGGCGAGGGCGAGCCTCGCCATGGTCAGGCGAGGCCCGACCTCGCCGGATCTAGCGAGGTCGACGAGGCTTAGGACTAAATTGGCATGGTCAGGTGAAAAAAAAAAGGAAAAAAATAAAATTTCAAAAAAATATTAAAATATTATTTAATTTGTCCACGTCATCGCCACGTCGGCGCCGGTGACCGATCGCTGGCCAGCAGGCGTCCACGTCGGCAAATTCCGATCAAAATTGGCCGGAAGGACTAAATTGGCACAAAAACAAAAGATTTAGGACTGAATTGGCACCAATTTAAAAGGTTTAAGACTGAATTTGCACCAAAAAAAGGTTTAGGACTAAATTGGCACCAATGCAAAAGGTTTAGGACTAAATTGGCACCAAAAAAAGGTTTAGGACTAAATTAGCACTAATGCAAAAGGTTTAGGACTTTTATGGCACTTTTCCCGAGAAAGAGGACGTCGACTACAACGTTACTTACTGCCTGGGCGACTGTGGCTCGACGGCGATGCCGAGACAAGATCGGAGAGAGGGTAAGAGGATGGAGCCGATGGTCGCCAGGCACGGGCCGAAGCTCGATGGATCATGTTGCTCGGGATCGATTTGTCAGAATGATTTGTTCAGCAGTGCTTACCATCGAGTTTGGATTTGAGAAGGGGACTTTAGATGATGCTTGTCCCAATAGTCAGAATACTTCTGCTGTTATCGACTTTTGTTTGTTAGATGAGTTACAATGTCCTGATTTTTCTTATATAAATTCTCCAATTTTCGCTGATTTTTGTCTGCTTAGTTTCTCAGGAGGGCCCATGTCTAAATGATTGGCCTGATATACATTTACACTACATAAAAAGACACCTTTTTTCTCATAAATTTTTCCCATTGTTCCAAGCTCTTCAAGGCCACTCAAGAGTCACTACGCCTGCGTGCGTACATTCTATTGTACTATTGTGCACTTGACGTGCTTCGCTGCGCACAAACTAGCTTATGAAGAAGGTTTTCAACAGTCGAAATGGACAGACACACCGCTACGAATGTCGAAACGCCTAAGTTCGACACAAACTTCTGCACTGGCAAGCGACAGACGCGCCGGCAAGCCTCTCCAGCACTGGGAGAAACACCAATTATTTTGCACTTCAGTAGCGGGTCATGTTCCTCCATTTGTCCTTCAGGTCCACCTGGAACAGAAAAGCTCCATTCCGTGATGCGGTCAATCTATGATATGATAAGATTCAAGCATTACCTCGGTTCTCTCCTCAAAAATTTGGCGGTAGCAGTTTAGGATGAGCTTCCAATTTCCTTTGCCAAACCTAGATTGCAAAAACAAATATAACAATGAGATGCCGCAATGTTTACACCAACTTGGAACTCAAAGCACATGACACCACTTCAACACAGAAGCACCCAAAAGTCTATGGACAACAAATATCAACAATGAAACCCTCGTGCTGTTAATAGATACTGCAAAAATTAACATTGCACCTGTGGACACCATTCCTCAAAGTTTCTTCTTCCTCCAAACTCCATCTCTTTACTTTTCTCCGTCCAGAAACTTTCAAACTCCGAGTCAATGGCTTCCTCAATGGAGAAACAGCGCTTCTTCTTGGGCTGGGTAAGAGAAGCCTATCTGAGTGACCCGAAGGTCCTTCAGGTGAACCGTCTATTGAATCGTCCCACTGAAAAAACGAATCATCAACAAACATAATATGAGCTACTACTATCATATCGTCAAAACAAACACACTAAATTTCCCCAAAAGACCATAATTTAGAAGAGAGACGATAGGCATCAGTACACTTCTGCATCTGCAAGAGTTAATCAACATTAAGAGTGTTTAGTTTCTGTTTTTACAGCTTTACTTCATTGCTTTAATGAATCAAATAAATGATTAGACATACTTTTAGATTGACGTGGCTCCATGATGCCATTTTTATGCCAACCAACTGACAAATATTGTTCTAAAATAATCCACAGAGGATTAAACTTTCAGCAGATCAAAGCTATCACCACCTTCGTTCTTCATGCTTTACTAATTATCTTCAAGATCTGGAAGTGAAAATTTTCTTCTTCTCACAACTAGAAGCATCCGCCCAATCTTTTAGCTAATAACAAAATAAAGTATCAATGTATATATGCAGGGCATACCCCCGTTGCATATACGCTGGCAAAGTATTATTTATTTAGACAGACAAAGGCCGACACCAACACCGAGTTTCGATAACAAATTAAGTTGCATAACAGAGACATGGAGAGAAAAGCACACGGTCGCACATACACAATGATGAAAAAGTATGAAGAGGCGAAGCAAAATGCAACCATTAATTAGATACCTCATAGGTACGAGCAGAGCTATTCCTTTCAAACAAACTAGGTCTACACTGGTTATTCTGATGACTGGTTGACCGGTTAACATGATTTACTTCACCACCTGGGACAGGCCCAGCATTCTGGTCGGCGGAGGCATCGGATGCATCGACATCTTCTCTAATCTGTGCTTCTGCACATTCAAAATTCGTAGATGATCTGGCAGCGTTACGCACAAGGGAGTCGGCCAATCGGATTGCATCAGGAAGTGGGTCCGCGACCGCTGCTCTCAGCTCCAAAGAGCTAGATTTGAGCGCTTCTTGAACTCTATTAACATCAGGCGAAAGGAGTGTATCAAGTTCGCTACGTGATGCATCTCTTCCGGTTTCCCCATTATCAGCAATGATCTTAACTCCCCCTTTGGATCGCCTATGGCGGGCAAGCTGCTTAGTATTGATCAATCCCTCATCCCGCTTCGACGTTTCTAAGGAAAACAGTTACCCGATTCACCAACTTGTATCTAATGCTTCCATAACAATCAGCTAGAAGAGACAAGATTATCACAAAAGCACAAGCCAAAAGACACTTAGATGCATCAGAGCAACCTAAATGCAAAAGAACAAACCGGGAATTTTCTCATTCGCAAGAACCAATTCTCTGCACGTATTGGCCTCGGATATCCGCCTCGCCGCGACCTCAATGAAAGAAGGACCCATCCTCTCCCACGCCTCGCCCAAATAAGCCCTAACCGACCTAAACGCATCGCCTCTCGTGTTCATCGCCAACAGATTCTCGCGCTCGCCCCCATCGTGCATCGCCGCCTCGACGCGGAGCCTCCACCGGAGCAACTCCGGCGAGAGGAGCCCACTCTTGGTCGCCGACTCATCCATCCTCCGAACCCTCCCACGCCAGATCCTCTCCACGGCACGGAAATACTCGCCCCGCTCCTCTACCCGCCCGTGCAGGAACCTGACGGCGCACTCCACGGCGACGGAGCGGTACGCCTCCCGCATGGCGTCGGAGACGGGGAGGTCGCCGGCCATCCTGTCCACCTCTTCGATGACTTCAAGCGCATCGAGGGTCTTCTCGGAGACGGAGGCGGCGTCGATTTCGGACCGGATGGAGCGGAGGAGGATGGATTTCTTGAGACGGAGGTCGGAATCGGGGAGAGGGAGGAGGGAGAGGGCGAGCTTGACGGAGCTGTCGTCGAGGAGGGGCTGGCGGAGGAGGAAGTCGAGGATCCACCGAGAGATGTCCGGGTCGATCTCCATGGGAGAGAGGACTGAAGAAGAAACTGAGAGTCAGGAGCTCAAATTTAGACTTAAACAGAAGAAACCTAGATTTAATTGGAATTTTGTCGGGAGAAGATATGTGATCTTGTCATTTTTTTTTTGGACAAGATATGTGATCTTGAAATGCTTGAAAATTCAAATATGTGTTACGGTTCGACCGGGTGTTTGCACCTAGGGGTGAGAGGTTCCAGGATAGGAACCGCCAACCTTGGAACCAAGAACTGCTTACTAAGAGCCGATTCCACAAAATGGAAATTAGGAACCGCCCGTTGGTTCCTTGGATCCACCCGGACCATAGACATTGCGGTCCGGTTCCCGAGTAGGTCCATGGAACCGGCCTACTTGAACATACAAGGTAAGATAGATGAAGAAGGGAACCAAGGGGTTTACTAGTTACTTGCTCGGGTCTGTCCTAAGTTGCCAAGGGAACAAGCACCAGAAGTCTCAGCAGCTTCAAAAGTTTGCGAAGCCAAAAGAAAAGAGGGCTGCGGCATTGGCAAAAGTACAAAAGTCAAACTACCTGAGCAATTGGCAAAAGAGTTGCAAACCACAAATGCAACTCGACAGAAAATATATGCAGTCAGTCTCCTCATAGTACCTGCCGTGATTCGAGCTGCAACGGCCGAATGTCTTCCTCAAGATCTATCACATTGAAAAAAAATAAGAACGTTATGCTCAGGAGCTCACAGAATTCAGCAAAAGACAACTGACACGAGCATTGTGAGCACGGCAAACGAAAAATAGAACACGTTCGGTCGTAGCAGTGACCTGTTGCTCACGAAGAACCTCCCTAAAACTAGGGCTTTACGGCGAAATCTTCCGTGCTCCGACTTTGGTAATTACGAAGCCAAATGAAACCCAGGGACGCAATTCCGCTCCAGCGGCTACAATGCAACACCAGGTAAGTTTGAATTTCGAGAAAGTTTGTACAAATCGACCAAGAACCGGATTCCCACCCAATCAATCCAAGGACCCCCAGCCCAAGTTCCGGTCGAACCAAAACAGTAGGACTATCTGGATCAGAACCGGCGTGATCAATCGGACGGATTGGACACGGAACCGAAGGTGATCCGGGAAGACCGATCAGTTCATCGAAGTGCTCGGCGGGAGGGACGATTTCGAGAGGACTTACAGTTGCGACTCCGAGAGAGAGAGTAAAGAGAGGGTGGCAACGCCGCGAGACGGAAAAACCGCCGGTTGCCCTCGTCGGACCTCCGACCCGAATCCAGGCCCATGTGCTCCGGAAAGCCCAATTTGGACGCAAATATTTTGGGCCTACAATGAGAGCTCGCGGTACTGCTTTGTTTGCTGATAATTTTTAATCAAAATTATTTCTTATTTCATAGCCTCAAACTGTTATTTTTTTGATAAATGTAACACAAAAATTCACCGCGTGGTGGAACGAAATATGTTTCCTGGTCGGGTGCTATCCACTAATCGGACGATTGACAAGTCTGATGTCGCTGAAGATAATGAGAGAAGTAGGCTTTCATCTAATCGGAAGTTTTCCCCTGCTGGACCAATTGGTACCAGATAAGCCCCAGAGCAAGATCGGACCTAGAACTGCTTTTGTCGTAGATAGCGAAAAGGCCTAGCCAGGAATAAGATTTTTGGTCGAGGGCTTTGCCCGCCCTAGTTATGAAGTCAGGAGAAGAGAAACCCGGCCAGTCCCTGTCTTTCCTTATATGTATTACATTTTCACAATGGAAGAAGACAAGTCTTCCTCAAATGGATCAGACACCTATGTTTAACACACCCAAATCGATCTTGATGAACTTTAAGACTTTAGCTTACTATTATCTATAAGTAGACCGGTTCTTGAAACGTATCGCTCATAACGGTTATATTGTAGGTTCGAGCCCTACTAAGCCTACCACCCTCTTCTCTTCACCTAATACAGGGCAGTTGAAGTCCCCGCCACCGCTCAGATCTCAATCTAGTAACGTTACTTGGAACCGTCATTTTCTTGAAAAGATATTAGATCATTGCGGGACCCTTTCAAATGAGTAATGCTTACCATTCCATTATTCACACAAACCCTTTAATTTTTTCCCGCGCCGGTAAATTTCAGTAAGTGTTTTTGTAATTGTCAAAAAAAAAACTTTTGATTATGAAACAATGGGCGACTCTTTTTTTTTTTCTGAATAATTTGTTGATAACTTATCAATACTTCTATGTAATTACCAATTTTCTTTTTAAAGTTTGCAACGTGACAATTTTTGTACCGATTTACCTACTTTTATTACATACGCTATATAGTAAGGTCTCGAATTTATTAATTATTATATAAAATTATCAACCAATATCAGGCAGCAAGCAATTACCACTTACCACACCAGCCTTTAAGGTAAGAAGGTTGGCAATTATTTATCAACTGATTTGGTAATTTATAAAAAAAAATCATATAAACGTTAGTAACTAACTCAAGTAGGAGTTGACAACTCATGATCAGTTAATAATTAATAAGAGAAAAAGTCGATAAATCACTTAAGTTGAAGTTAACAATTCATATACGAGTCGGTCAATCTAAGGGCAAACGAAAGTTGGTGTAAAATAAGAAAAGTCGCAAGTAATCTAACAACAATTATTTGATGCTTACCAACTCATTTAAAAATGTATCAGTCGGAAAAGAAAATTCTGTTTTTTTTTGAAAAATGGAAAGGTATCCTTATTTGTTTATTATCTTTGGAAAAATGGGACAAATGATCTCTAAACTTTGGTCTAATGTGCAATGTGGTCTCTTAACTTTTAATTTGTTCAATGTGATCTATAAACTTTCAATTTGTTCAATGTAGTCTCTACATTTTTTGTACATGTTCAATTTAGCCATGGAACTGTATAAAAATGTTTAATATTGTCCCTAAACTTTGAATTACTTGAAGGACAATAATGAACATTTTTATATAATTTAGGGACTAAGTTGAACATGTATCAAAAGTCTAGGGATCAGTTGAACTAATTAAATGTTAATGGACCACAATATACATCGGGACAAAGTTCAGGGACTACGTTGAACAAATTAAAAATCTAGAGATCACATTATATATTAGATTAAAGTTCATAAACCATTTGTATCATTGGTCATTGCGTTTGGCAAGCCTATTTGGATGAGTTGCAATATCAAGTAAAGTGACTATTTGGTTTATGATTCTAGATGTGCTTCAAGAGCGGGCGGAAAAAAAAAAGCTACGTACTTACCAATAATCATTGTTGAAGTTCTTTCCCAGAGAAAATGAATAGAATGCTACCAACCGGAAGAGGTATCATACATCACCTTCTCAAAACGAAATAGAGACAATATATTCTGGTCAAGACGAGACAATCGAATAAGAAAAAAAGGCATTGTGGAGATATGTGAGTGTTCGATGAATAATATGGTCTGTCATTTCTTAAATAAATTTTCGAATAAGTGCATTGAATGTGTTAAAATTTATCATGAAAGTGCAATTGAGTCTTAAATATTTTAAAAAACGCAATTAAGTCCTAACTTGTTACGAAATGCAATCAAGTTTCGTGATAAGTTAAAAATTTGTCAAATTGGTTCAATTAAGTCATTCCGTTGATTACACTTTTTGAAAGTTTTAGAAATCAGTTGCACTTTCGTAACAAGTTTTAAGACTCGATTGCACTTTTTGAAAGTTTGAGGATTTGATTATACTTTCGTGTCAGATTTTAGGACCGATTGCATTACTGTGATAATTCGTGACAAATTTTAGGATTTCCAGTATATTTATCCCATAAATCTTTTTCCAAGCAGATAGCACAAATATTTCAATCGTCTCTTATAAGGCACTGCTAAAAGCATGATGATAGGCGACGGCTGAACCCGACCCACCGGATAAACTCTTATCCAAGGGGGGCTAAAGTGCCTGTGGAATTTGGCCTAACTCAATAATAATAACTCCTGTGGATCTAGAAAACCACTAGCGACGGGACCGAGCAAGAGTGATTAGCGCCGTAACTGGCGGCGGCCGGCCGGCAGTTATGTAACGTGCAAAAAAGGAAAGAAAACAGGAAAGATGATTGATTGTATGGCCCATGCAGGTCTCGAACCTGCGACCTTCGCGTTATTAGCACGACGCTCTAACCAACTGAGCTAATAGGCCTCCAGCTGAAATTTTATAACGCTCTTGCAATCTTAATTGAAAACATCCTGCTAAACCAGACCTAATCGAATTTGCTGCGCCACATACGAAGCGACGCTCGCGAACATCTCCAGCGCGATGAGCATGTCCCTCGTGATCTCCCCGAGTGCCGGCGCGAACTCCACCCCGTTGAGGCAGTCGTAGGCCGGCGAGTAGCCCGGGCCTTCCTTGATCACCTCCTCGTACTCCTTCGCCTCCGAGAGCTCGTGCGCGCGCCTCAGGTCGGCCTCCACCTTCCCGTACAGCGACGCGCAGTTCGCGTACCCCTTTCGGAGCCGGGGGTCGCCGGTCATGTTGTCGCGGAGCCGGGCGAAGGTCTCGCGGTTTCGCCCGGCTTGCTTCTGGGTGAGCTCGATGGAGACGAGCGAGAGGAGAGGGAGGTCGGCCGAGGCGGTCCGGGGGTCGCTGTTCAGGAGGGAAGCGCAGAGCTCGTCGTTCTGGGTTTGCGAGCAGACGGTGGAGATCGTCTGTTGAGAGACTCCATTGCAGTCGGAAACGAAGGAGGAGAAGACGAAGAAGACGAAGAAGACGAAGAAGAAAGGGAGAGATGCGAAGGAAAGAGCAGTCAAAGTTGGTGTCCGTGAAGAGGACATTATCTCATGCTGGGTGGTTTGATTTCAATCGTATTTTGTGTGTGCGTGGTGTGTGTATATATTATATATAGAAATATATATGATATGGGTCTTGATTTTGTACGATTTTTTATGGATTGTGTTGCGTGGTATCGATTCTGGAAATAAATTATATGAAATTATTTATTTCGTTTGTATGACAAAAAATAAATAATTTAAAAGATATTTTTTAAAAAATAATTGTTATTAGTTAATAAAAAAAATTCGTTATCGATAATAATTTATATTTAAATATTTTTATGAATAATGAAAATACTTTTCGTTTATTCAAATTTATGAGCCAGGCAGGCGGCCCGGGAGGGACGCGCAGAGTTTGTGGTTCTGGGTTTGCGAGCAGACAGGTGGACATCATCTGTTGAGAGACTCCATTGCAGTGGCAGAAGAAGACGAAGAAGACGAAGAAGAAAGGGAGAGATGCGAAGGAAAGAGCAGTCAAAGTTGGTGTCTGCGAAGAGGACATTATTGTCCATTGCTAAGTAGTTTTTTTATTCGTACTTTGTGCGCGTGTCAATATATATACATTTATATATATATATGGGTGATTTTTTTTTTATTCATTGCGTGTCTATATATATAAATATATATAATATATATGAGATATGGGTCTTGATTTTATATGATTTTTTTATTGATTGTGTTGTGTGGCATGAATCTCGTGCCGGTGCTACGTCTCTTTCTTGAAATAAATTATACGGAATCATTGGATAATAAAATATCTAGTAAGGTCATGAAATGATTGTCCAAAAAGTCATAAATTTATTGTCAGACGTTCAATTTAGTTCTAAATTTTTTAATTGTACCAATTTAGTCCCAAACCTTTTATCGATTTATCAATGTAGTCCTTTCGGTTAATTTTTACCTGAAATCGCTGAAATGGATATCAACCGTCCACTGGCCTCTGGGCATGGGCTGCCCTCGCCCATCCCTTGATGTGGCCTTTTGGTTAAATTTTCATAAGCAATTTCTTTTAGGAAGGAAGAAGTAATTTTTTTTTCATAAAAACACTGTTTGGACAGCTATGGATAAAATGGGTTATCTTGAAAACGAAAATCTATATAACTTATTATGTTGAAAGTAGAAATTTTCGTTTTTATAATCGACGACAAAGATAATGTTAGCTATAACTTTAAATCGATAAAGGAAAATTTCGGCACCAAAAGATAGCAAATCTCGTATATTGAGGAGCATTCGTCTTCTTTATTCATAATATACTTGCAACCTAAGATTAAGGTTCAGTTTGTTTCTTGAAAAATATTTTCCTAAAAATGATAGCTTGTATCGCTTGAAATAATTAATCAATTAAAAATGTCTCGTGTATAAACATTTTTTGGCCACTAAAAATGTTTTTGGTTCGTACGACTTCGTAAGTGATACAAACGATTATTTTTAGAAAAATATTTTTCAAATAATTCATTTTCAGAGAAACAAACGCATCCTAATATGTAGTAGCGACCAGCTACGTGATCTCCTCATTTCATGTGATAAACGCTATTAGCTTTTTCGAGATTTTTTAATTTTATTTTGATAATTAGAATATGTTTATGTCCGATAAACAGTAATGCTATTGTTTTGAATTATGTGTAGCTATTAGGTTTTTTCTATTACTTTAATAAAACAAAACGAAGTACGAGTAACAGTTAGATATGACAAACGCTCATTAACGAAAATGATGTTGAATAAGCACTTATCACTAGGCATTGCCAAACGGATAAACACCACTTTCAATTAAGAAACGTTTAAATAAACTTGAAACGTTCTGACCAAAAATAAAGAATAAAAAAAATAAACTTGAAACGGGTTAAATGATTTTATTGTCTATAAATGAAAAAAAAAAGCACAAACGTAACCAGACGATCTCTTGATTTCTCACTTAATTCTCATGTTTTGGACATGATTACTGTGATATTAATTACTCTAGCAAGTGCCTGATCAGGCAGTTTTGATCAAAACCATTTTACGGTAGGTTACTAGAAATGAGAATTACAATGTATGCAAATAATATGGAAGTGAAGAAATAATACTCTATAACTATACGGCGCCGTTTGTTTTACAATAAAACGAGTAAATTGAAAAACATTTTTCTAAATATGATCACTTGTATCGCTTTCAAGAATGAACAAACGGAAAATTTGCATCATCCACGACAATGTATTGAGCATAATCGTCTTCAATCTGCTGGTACATGGAAACGCAAAAATTCGCAACCTTTTTCTCTCCGATGGATCTGAAATCCCGTTGCGAATTCGAGCATAATCGTCGCTGATAGCTTCGGCCTCGTTCGTGGTCAATTCGATCGAGATGAGTGAAAGCGAGGGAAACCTGCCGAATTAGCGCAATGGAAGGCAAATGAAATATATAGGATCTTGGGAAATTGCATTGCAATCCAAGGTAGGTATAGAGGAGAAGATGAAGAATGATGATAAAGAGAACACTTGCAGGAGGTGGAAAAAGAAGATAAAAGCCATTTTTGTTGTTAACTGGGTTGTAGTAAGTGGATATTAGACCTATTAAATGGGTGAATCGGGTCGAGTCGGATTTGAATCGAGTCATCAATGGTCCGACCCAACCCATCCGTTTAACAGGTATACTATTTTGATACCTCTGGTGGATATATAAATCCAGTACTTACATTGAGATGTGCCTTAGCAAAAGCTTAGACAAATCGTTACGTCTTTTTTTCTCTACCTAAAAAAGGGTTTGGACGGGATCGGGACCTATCTCATCAGCCTGCTGCAAGTTGAGACTTTACAACTTGTGTGTTTCTTCCTAGCGAGTGAAATTTGGATTGGTAATAGTTTCTAGGAAGTAAAGGAGCATGTAAAGTATTGCTAAGCCGAGGAAATGGCATGGGAAAAATGCTGGATATCCAGATATGTCTTTGCGAAATTACTCTCTTCTCACCAAAGAAGAAACTTTAAAGAAGGAAAGATTGGATTTATTATGACCAAACTCGGTAAGTTAGCAAAATGTGGGCTTGACATGGGAAATCAGATTGGTTAATTCAAGAAACAACCCACATTGGACCTTTTCCATCATTCAAAAATTTTGGTTGAACTTAGGATCGAATATAAACAGTTCATTGTTTTGTAAATCACTTGTAAAAAGTGTGCCCTTTTCATTTTCACCACATATACGCATGAAAGATTCTAGGGTTTGCGCTAATTTAATTCTCACTATATGATGCTACAACATATCTGTATAAATTTTATTTATCATCGTCGTCATCATCATCATCTAGTGATGCTTTTCACAATCCAAACATAGCTCAACATTTAGTGGGAACATAACCAAACTACTCAAAGCAAAGAACTAAGGTACTGTCATTCCCCATGCTCCTTTACCCTTCCCAAACAAAGGCCTTGCTAGTCAAATTAGGAAATTAATTAAACAGCATAAGCATAATTAACCATCGTTTACTCGAGTTACGATCTTAATAAGCACCCGCGACGAGGTTAATCAGGTGGCGGATGGAGCGGAGAAATAATCGTGGACCCTAGCCTCCGACATCGCCGCTAGGAAGGGCTGCAAGTCCACGGGCGGGGTGCAATCTCGCCCCGCGAAGTTCTTGTAGTCCAGCTACTCGTTGTCGAAAATGTCCCACCATTTCTTGACCAATGCCTTGATGTCGTCCTTGTCCATGTTGGCCTCCTTGCCCATGAACCGCCACGGCTTGGACCTGGCAGCGCAGTAGTGAGCCACCTTGACCTCGTCGAGGTCGAAGTTCTCAAGGTGGCGCCATAGCATGGCAATGACAAGGTTGTAGACCGGCGGGATCGGTTTGTACGCCTCCTTGAAGTACATGTTCAAGAAGTCCTACGATGAATTTCGCGACACCAGAATCAAACATCTAGCAATCTAAGTCACATCAAAGTCCAATTTCGAAACGATTAACGCCATAGCATTGCTCGAATCGAATCGAATTGAAATTCATCAAACCTGCTCGGCAAAAGGGGTGGGAGGGGTGATCCTGACGGTGCGGAGCAGGTTGCGGTAAGTGTTGAGATCCGGCTCGACCACGAACATGCCCGCCCGATCTGGTTCTGAGGCGTGTGGCTCCATGACTTCTCGCAGAAGTAGTCCATCACGGCGTAGAAGTTGCCATCCGGGAGGTCGAAGAGATGGTCTATGTTGTCGAACACTTGGATGTCCCCGTCGAGGTATATCATCTTGCTATACTCCACGAACTGCCAAATTTCGATCAAAATTGAACAAAAAAAAAAAACATGCCCAAATCAGCAACTCAAATGATGACTAATTTGTTAGGCAAAAGACTGAGTGAATCATAGTAATCATACGATGAATTCGAAATAAACATGTTCAAATTTACCAAACTACCCCCATCGATAGCCACGGACCCTATTCAAATACCTTATAAGCGTAGACCCAAATATGTCCAAGTGACGAAACAAAAAAGTAAATACGTGTAGCGCTTGCAGAGCGCTTACCTCCCAGATACGAAGCTTAGAGTAGCTGATGACGTAATAGGCCATGGCGAACTCGGTGCGGTGGTTCTCCGGCGGGTGCACCGGCTCGATCTCCCTCACTGCGCACCCTTGCTCCGCCAGCATGCGGTGGTGCTCGGCCGGCACGTTGGGCAGCACCGCCACCACGAGCGGGCCCTTGCTCCCCGCCTTCCGCAGCCCCTTGGCCAGCCCTATCACCCCCTTCACGTAGTCGCCGTCCCCCGCCAGGAACGTCACGTACGCCTGGCTCCGCGCGCTGGCGGGCGGCTCCGCGTCCCCGTCGGGCTTGGCGGCGGCAGCCCTAGTGATGTCCGTCGCCATTAAAAGTGGGTTGTAATATGACGGCGCGAAGAGAAGTTTGGTTTGTTTTTCGAAGATGAGCTCGAGAGTATTGGTTTGGCTTGAGGGGCTAAAGAAGGTGGGAGTGGTGGGGTTTATAATAGAAACTTTGGGCTAATTTATTTAAGGTAAGGAAAATTATATTTAGAATAAATTCTTATAAAATGAATTTATTTTCGGAAAATCTTATGAGGTGGAGTGAATCTAGGACCGCCCGATGTTAATGCACGCCCCCACGTGGACATAGTCAATTTGATCCCATGCGTTAAAAACGCCGTCGTTTCTTTTGCCGTTTTTCGGTTGACCTGGTGGAAGTCGGTTCGTTTTGGGCTCTCCCTAGTCTCTCTATTCATATCATATCCACCACGTGTTCGAATAAAAACCTTACACTAAGCGTTATCCATTAAATTCATTAAGTTTCCTTAAGAAACGATAACGTACGTTGTGTCGTTGATTAGACATTACAAGATCACCGGGCAACGAGGGATTATAGTCGTAGGAAGATTTAATGTAAGAGTTATAATGTCAAATTTATGGAAATTAAGCTCAATTAAACTTTCTAGAAGCATGAGTTTTCAACCTTACGGGAGTTAAATTGGGCATCACTATTACCCCCACCACCTTATAAGGCCCCACTGACTGACCTGTCCTGTCTCGACTCGAAAATATCCTTGCCGAAGGCGATCACCTAGAAATTCAAGGCAATGTGGCTTGAACTCAATAGTCTCTTGCACCACACTTTCTTCTCCTTGGCGAGGGCATATACCGTATAATTTTTTTTTTATGGTCTCGCTCCTTTCTAATTCTATATATGTATATGTGTGTGCAGTGTTCATGTGAATCGAATCCCGAATCTAATACTCTCCAGCCCCATTCTCCAATCCCTTTATCAGTAGGGCCGCATGCCTGTTGGCCATATAATGTATATGAGCACTACATGTCGGACCACTCGATCGTAACTATCCAATCATTCACTCGTGCAGGGTCACGATACGTTACCGACATGTAGATATTTCAGGGTGCTGTCTAACACCCAGATGAGCTTCGAGATCCGCTGTCGTTGTGCGTACTCTTCGCATGATACAGAATCGTCTCCTTCTTCCCAGTTCCGAATATGAAAATCACGACAGCTTAGAGAATCGTTAAGGCAAGCCAACCCAGCCGACCGAAATCATCCCGCGACGAGTCCACGTAACTTTCTCTGCATTCTTTCTTTTTTTTCTTTCCTTCCCTTTCTTTTGGTGACTTGACTGAACGAAAAGTCTGCTGCAACGCATGCAACGGAAACGGTCGACACTTGGCCGCAGGATCTAGCGGTGCCGGCTCGTCCGATTCTCGCTCTGGTAGGCTCCTATGCATCGTTCCAGCTTCTTCTGGCCTCCCCATGGAAAGGTGGCGGCGATTCAGTCGAGTTTTGTGGATAAGGACGTGTGGTGGGACCGAAGTTGCATCAGGAGCAGGAAGGAGGAAAACGAAAAGGACAACAGTTAAAAGGATAATAAACCAACCTTAGACTTTAAGCATGACCATATGACGTGATTTGGGTTTGGCAGTTGGGTCCTGGAGGAAGACTCCCCATCAACTGAAAAAACCGTATCTTTTCCTAAGGATGAAATACTTGTACTTTTCTCAGGAAAGCCGACCTGATAAAGGGGATATTGTTTGAAAGTTTCCAAGCTTTGGACCAAAATTAGTTGAGTGATTACCGCTGTTTAGAATTTTTGACTAATCCCCTTCTCTTTGGCCCACGCCAATCACCTAGACTCTCGAAAAGTAGGTAATGTCCTGTTCTCTTTAAGGGTTTTCTTGATAAGTAATTATATCGCTTGCACCGACAGTGTGAAGGAAATGTCGTACAAGCGGCTCCATACACCGTTGATTCGAGAGAATGGATGGCTATATCCTCAAATCAAGGGCGGATGATGCCTCTTTCGAAAAATATTAGTTACACCGACGATCGGTGTGTGTACTATTTTTCCTTTTTCGGTCAAGATATTGTTCCTTTTTCTGTTAGGTGGACATTTCTGGATGATTTTTGAAGAGTCAAAGATTCTTAGGATTTCAGGGGATGTTTTTCCTTCGGTTTTGGGACCACTAAATTTAGTTCGTTTATATCAGCTGAGACACCATGATTACTTACCAGCTTTATCTCAATTAGGATTTGAAAATGTTGCATTCTCTCCCGTAAATTTGGGAGCAGATCAAGGGGCCTTTCGGTTGAATTCTCTCCCCCAAATTTCTTTGGTGACATATCAACACCCCAATCCCAAAAATGGACCAACAAGCAGTTGAAAAGCCTTGAAAAGCAAAGTGGTGAGGCTGATAGGCCTATAATTGTGCATTTTGTGAGGTTTGCTTAGGCACTCTTAAACTATTCATTTTTGGCCTAATGGATTCAATGAGTTCAGGTCTAAACTTTGTGCATCTGTTGCTTCCTGTCTGATGCCATATCTGATATGCCTGTGTTTAAAGGGCTGACGGTATTGAACAGCGATTTGAGATTTGAAGAAAATTTTCAAGAAGCACGAAAAACCGGGGAGAAAAGTTAAGTATGATTAAGATGTGATATGCTCAACTTGTGTTGACACGGACAGCAAAGTTTGGTAAGGAGATCGGAAAGGCTCAAGAAAAGGTCTAGTCTCGAAGAGTTCCTACTTAGCAACAGCACGGCGAATTATAAGATAAAACGCAGATTACAAATTCATGTGCATGACTAAGACATGCTGACATGAATTTGCAATCCAGTGCTTTGAGCTGAGCCACTGTAAGGACTGATACTTCATTGGTCATGACTTGACTTGTGTTATGCATTTGGGTTCAGATCACAGCCTTCCCATTGTTTGGCACTCGTGTTTTCCTCTCTGTAATACCTATTAATAGACCTCCACAACTAGTGTATGCACATCTGGGTTTAGAGTTTACTCAATCCTGAAAAACTTCTATGTTGCTCTTTTTCTTCTTCAGCTGGTAATATGCTGAATGTTAAACTGGGTCCAAGTAACGAACCTTCTGGTTGCAAAACTCAGCAGCAGAGTCTCACTCTAACAAAGAGCATTTCTGAATATATTTTTTCTAGTTTGATTTAATGCTACAAAATGCAACAATTACATCTCTCCAATGACTTTGCCCAAAGGAAAACTTTTCAATTTCGCATAAGATCATGACGTCATGGAGGCCTTGTGAAAGGAGAAAGAATATAGCATGAGCAGAAAGAAAGAGAAATCTGTAAGAACACGACAGAAAGAGTTTGAATCTGTCTAGCTCTGAAGAACAAGACTCTTTCCGAGGATCATGTCGTCGGTGGTGAAATCGGCCTCTTTTCTGAAAGTCCCTCGGCCAAAGTCTAGGTTGTAGGAGTCCGCAAGGCCTTCGACCAGGTCAAATTCCGGTTTCCACCCAAGCACACTCTTCGCTTTGTTGACTGACGCAAAGTAATGCTGCATGCATTGTGAAATGTGAGCCACATATTTATGCCCATAGTGTTGTATCTTGAAGGGTTTCTAGGGGAATGTACTATCTATTGCAACCCAAAAAGATTGAATTAACAGGAATTTTTAAGTCTATAACATCTGGAGAGGGGGAAAAACCGCCCTCCTTGGAAGTGATTTTCGAGTTTTCAGTCTTCCTGCGGATGTGATGTATGAATGACCAAATGCATCTAGAACTGTCCAGGTGATTCTTTGAAGAGTTTTAGCTTCAGAACATGCATGAAAAGGGGTTGTTCATAGGAGATTGATTATGCGGGATGACAGATCTGTGGCAGTGAATGCACTTCAGGTGGAGTGCTATTTTTTGTAAACAAGATATTTCGTTCCATTTTGAAGTTGGTCATAAATCACTATGTATAGATACTCAAGGAACGTATCAATTCCATTTTCTGCATCAAGAAAAATAAAAAAAAGCACATGATTTTCTCTCATGTATACCTGGTCACGGAATGGGAATGCCTTCTTTTTACCAAAATCGAACTCCCTGGGATTGTAGTGGATGATTTCAGGCTCCGGAAAACCAGCAGCCTACAAAAATGTTACAGAAGGTTAATATGTATGGGTAATTCGAGCCCAACACTAGCTAATTCCTAATCCTTTAGGCTTTGAGCGGTAGCCAGAAGTACCTTGGCGCATGCTTTTGCTAGCCCGTTGAATGTCACATACTTCTCTCCCGAAATGTTAAACACTTGCTTGCTGGCTTTCTCATTACCAAGAACCTGAACAAATGCTGTTGCCAGATCCTGTTTTTCCAACCCAAAAACATCATTCCTCCATTCGTAAACACAAGTAAAGTCTATACAGTATTGAAAATGGGAGAATCAACTAGTGCACATTCTCTTTTTCGTTTCATAGAAGCAAGATGTTCTCATTATCTTTTCTAAATCTACTTCAGCTCTAGCTAGCTCAAAGAATTAGAAGATAATGAGGATCATACAGAGGGATAGTTGTTCAGCCTCAAATTTATTGGAGACTGACAAAAGAGAAAAGTAGCAACTAACCGACCTTAACGTGGCCAAGCTGAGTTATTTGTATTCCAGAGTTGGGAATCGGAATGGGACGACCTGCTTTCAGACGGTGGAAGAACCACTCTTCTACGGGGTTGTAGTTCAAGGGCCCATAGATATACACCGGTCTCAGTGAAGTCCAGTTGACACCGCTTGAGGCCAACAAGTTCTCGGTTTCAAGTTTTCCCTTGTGCCTACTCTTCGGGTCAACCGCATCTGTCTACCATTGTGCAAAAAGAAATTTGATGAGGATTGTATAGATAATATAAAGAGATAAGCCGAGAACAAAAGGAGAAAAGAAATGAAGTCCTAGAATTTCTGTCAGAACTCTATTATTTACGCATGCCATGAGAGTATTTGAAGCAATAGTATCTTAAGAAACATACCTCACAGTGAGGCATATAATCAGACTTGAGATAGACACCAGCCGAAGAGCAGTAGATGTACCTGAAGATAAGTAAAACCTTCATATGTCATTAAATTCTGCTTCTTTCAGAAAGATTATTTGCCAATTTTTCAGAGCATGCGATCATTTATAAGGGTCTGATTGTATGACATAAAGGGCAGGTGGAAAGGTAGGTGAATAGCATTTCTGTCCTATGATTTGAGCCCAGCAACATATAGAGCCATATGCTGAATTTCATGAGCATCGAGATCACAAAATTTTCACAGTTTTGTACGATGATGCTGTGCCTATAATTGGATTTCCAACAAACAGTAACCTCAGTCTAAGAGCAAGAGAATCGCTCAAATGAATTTCATAAGTTCCAGGAACTATGGAGTAACTTGATAGAGATGAACAAAATCCGATTGCACCAGAGAGAGAGAGAGAGAGAGAGAGAGAGAGAGAGAGAGAGAGAGAGAGAGAGAGAGAGAGAGAGAGATGGTACTGTTCTAGATTTGGCAGGGCATCCAATATTGGCGCGACTTCATCCGCCTCTCGTCCTGTAAATGCGAAAGAAGTCTTATACATCATTTGGAGGAGATGGTGATTTATTTATGCAACCTAAAAGCCAAGGATCATGAGCATCCTAGCTGGATTAAACCATGTGAATATCAAATGCATTGAGAGAGAACTGAACAAGAAATCACTCCATACCGTTAATGTCATAAACAACGTCAAAGCCTTCTGCAGCAAGACTAGATTTAACAAAATCAAAATCCTTTCTGTCTCCTTTCAAATGCAGGATCTGACAGAAAAAGTTGACATCAGATATAAGAAGCTCAGCACAAATCATTCTAAGGCAGAATTTTGTCGAATAAATTATCCGCAACACATGGCTACGCCCAATGCAGTTACCTTGGACGAAAAATCAGCGTAGTCCTTGTCCGACTCACCAGGCAATTGTTGAGTGATGGGTGCTTTTCCTCTGGTAAACAAAGTAACCTACCAAAATAGCAAGATAAGCAATAAAGGCACTGAAAGGTGTTTGAAAAGAGCAAGGTTTCAAGGAAGATTGACATGAGAAACAATGAGGAAAGGATGGCATACAACTTGCCAATACCTGATGACCTTCCTTGACAAGTAGTCTTGACATAAACACACCAATAAAACGGGTGCCTCCCATTATAAGGATCTTCTTATTGCTCGATGCAGTGACCCGCAGTGCTCCTTTAGGCTGCCACACCTTCCTCTTATACTATAACAACATAAAATCAGCTTTAGTTTGAGCTGAATGAAACAGTATTTTCCTTTTCTCCATCTCAGAATTCTTCAAAATAATGATCAAATGAAAGAACGTCGTTGAATTGTATAACAGGAGTTTCAAGGCCAAATTTGAGCCCTTAGTATCAACTTCGATTGGGCATATAAAGCTGTATGACTGTTCTTGCGGAGTCACTTTGCATAGGAAATGATCATGAATTCTGGGAAAGGATACAATCATAACAGCTCAATCATACTCTAATTGATGGAGAGACAATGAAATGACATGCTCGTCTTTTCCTTTTTTAACAAAATGTGTGTTAGTTTATTCATCACAGAACACAATCCAAAACCAAGATGATCAATGTTAATTTGAGCAAACACCCAGTAAAGAAAAATGCCAACGTTTCAAGATTTCCTGATTGAACTACTGTGAGAGAGAGAGAGAGGACCTGAATGCAAGCATGGAGTCGGGTGCCATTGAAGTCAGAGAAAGAAGAAGGGAGGAGAGAGAGGGAAGGTGTCTGGTGTTGAGGCTGCACTGCCACCAACTTTGCCATGGCTCACTCGCTCACTATGCCCCCTCCCTCCGCTTCTTCTTGCAGCAAGTTTATTATGAGACTTAGAAAACTTCCGGTTGAGGGAATTTTTCTGTGTATGTATGTGTGTGTCCATGCTTTGGTCTTGCAATGGTTTTCTCTCATTTCTGTCCAGTTGGGATAAGACAATGACCCACCCCAGCTTCGGTTATATCCACACACAACCCAGCCTCACATTCTTCTCCTCCTCCTCCTTCAGTTTTTCTTATTTTTGTATTTAACTATTTGTTTTGTTTTGTGCCCTTGAAAGCCTGCTGTGGCCACTAATCACAGCGATACTCTGCATTCATCCAAGCCACTCCGAATTCTCACATCTTGACGAAACCATGAAAACCACAGCACTTGTGCCCTTTTCTAACCCTCTTTTTCATTCTCAAGGTTCTGTACCGTGCAAGTATGATTTCAGTAAGTGACCAAAAAAAAATGTATGATTTCAGTAAACCCCCAAACAATGTACCATCTCCAATAGAGAGATGTACAGAGGAGGCATAGCATACCAAAAGGTCTCATTGTTCTTCATTCTACAACAAGATGATCAGCTTAAATGGACCACACCTCCATTGAAGACCTAAAATCCTTTCACATGACATAATGTCAATACACAAATGGGTGTTCCAAATACAATCTTAAAATCGTGACAAATGATAAATTTACCTTTATCGTCCTCATATGATACACCGTGATCCTAAAATTTTGAAAACAGATAGATTTATTGAGTATATATAAGTTATGTATTGACCGCCTATTGAGCTTTCATACTTGATTTTTAAGATTAGTCATAAGAACCTATTTGTCAGCTATAATTGATGTGGACTTAGCTTGAGCCTAGAGTTTGATTTGTTATTTATCACCTGTAAAATAACATACAATCTGCTTATCAATTAGAAAAGCGAAAAAAAATAAAAAATGATAATAAAAAGAATCAAATGTTTGGAGATTCATCTATAAGAAAATGTACTTATATTGTAGTAATAAATGGAAAAATGTAGCTTTGCAGCAAAAAAAAAAAAAACACAATGAACAAAAGGTTTAAATATGAACACTGTTTTAGAGATTCAAAGACTCGATTTTTAATGACGATTTTATCTCGCGTTTGCTGCTAGGCTAGGCTTTTCTTCGATTACCAAAGGTCTGAGCTTTTTTCGACATCGCTACTTGTTCGTTCTTCCCGATCGCGCCCGACAGAGGTACAGCGACGAGATGTTGCAGTGCATCTTTCTCCTGTCCGATTCCGGGTATGGAACATCATTCGATCCTGCACCGATACGTTTCTTGCGATGCAAAGTTCTTGCTTTCTTCTTCTTCTTCTTCCTCTGTTTTTTATGCTGGATTCTTGAAACCGAGATGAAATCGGTGAATCTTCGAGCGGAATGTAATTGTGGGTATCTGAACATGGATTTGTCACAGGGAGGTGATGCTGGAGAAACAGCTCACTGGGCATCGTGTGGATCGGTCCATATGCGCTTGGTATTGGGATCACGCCATTTCTCAAGGAGACCAGGTTCATGTTCTTCGCATATTTATCTCACAAGCTCATTTTCGTTCTTGTATCTGTAGCGGTACAGATGCACTAGGCTTTTCTTTTTCTTCTGAGCAAATTACTTGGATTCCATTTCTCGGGTGTTCTTTTCTCTGATGGGTTTAACCCTTCTTTTCCTGTGATTGGTTGATTGTTGCCCCCATACAGCTACAGCCCGTGATCGCTTCTCCAACGCATTACCTTTTCCAAATTGTTCGCGAGGGCATCACGTTTTTAGCTTGTAGCCAAGTCGAGATGCCGCCTTTGATGGGCATTGAGGTACGATACGTTTTAGGCCGGTATCGATGAGCCGCGGGATAGAGTGATATTGGGCGTCGAACAAGACGGGGACTTTTTTGAGTTTTAATTGCTTGATTTTAGTTTCTATGCAGAGTAGCTGATGTCCTCGCGGATTACCTTGGAGGGCTAAATGAGGATGTGATAAAGGATAATTTTGTTATTGTTTACGAGGTAACGTGTCTTGCTGATCGTGTGCTGTTTCTCCCCTCAAATTTTATGACTCGCTGTTTTGGCGATTCGAGTTTATCAGCACGTTGTGGCGAGAGGCTTATATTCAAAATATACATTAGTGTATGATTTCGTTCTAGAATCATGGAGGATAAGATATGCAAGGGCTGGTTGATGTTTTCCCGAGGGCATTTAGTTCTCCCGTCTCATGAATGGAGAAATGTAGATATTGAGTAAAGTTTGACATTGTTGATAAACTGACTTGCTGTAAATGGTGCCTTCATTTTATCTGTGACAAAATGACTTTAAGACTCAGTATTAACTAGGATGGAACATGGGGCCTTACATTGAATTACTTCAGTATATTACAGCCACTTGTAGCCAGATTTTGTGCATTATTGAAGCTATAGTTATCATATCTACTGAAGCTCATTGCCTGAACTTCTATCTGGTCGCATGTCTTTATCATTCTTATGAAACATTGGTGAGCACAGTGAATGACTGTGAAAATGGAAAGCACGAGTGACTGCTTTGCCATGTTGCGAGAGAGAACTGTAGCCTAGCATTGTTTTGTTCTTTTTTTGGATTAAATGGTAGGCTGCTTTCAGCTCACTAATCTACTTAACCTGAAAACTCCAGTTTATTCATCAGCTCACTAGCATTGTTTTTTTGGATCCGAATAATGCCCTGTTTGTGGCTCCTGAGGTAGTCTTCTTCATAGCATATGTGTACACAATATCTTGAAACTGTTCTCTAAATGCTGTCCAGATACCTAGTTTGATATGCAAAGTGGCCAATTTAACTTCTTGTAGGATGATTACGGTTCCTTCTTGAAATGTTTCGTTAAATTCTATTATGTCCCATGTAATCACTGAAATGTCAATTCAGATGTATGTGTTGTAATCTCTCTCCCTCTTTCGTCTTTGATGAAACTCATTATGGGACTCAGCTGATACTGTGCAGCCTATGTTCGCTTGCATTGTGTAATTATGAACTACCTCCCCTATTGTAATTTTAAGCTTGTGACATCATTTTTCTTTATTTTCTAACGCTTCCCCTTTAGCAAGTCATCCACTCATTTTGCCTTGTCATGTTCATTGAGTGAGAAGTAAAAAGTTCTATGGTGGAATGTGCAGCTTTTGGACGAGATGATAGATAATGGTTTCCCACTCACTACAGAACCCAACATTCTCAGAGAAATGATAGCTGCACCTAATATTGTTAGCAAAATGTTGAGTGTTGTGACTGGCAATAGTTCGAATGTGAATGAGACACTTCCTGCTGCAACAGCATTGTGTGTTCCATGGAGAACAACAGACCCAAAGTATGCTAACAATGAAGTTTATGTTGATCTCGTGGAAGAAATGGATGCTGTCATTAATAGGTATTTAGCTGAAAACCTCGATGAGCTTTGTTAAAGGTTCCTATCTTTTTGCTTAAAGCTGACTTTACCACTTTCCCTCTCTTTCCATTTTCCTCTTTTTAATGACTTACATCTAGCTGTTTCACTGAGTTGACACTAATGAATACTCTCTTATGCATTTCCTAGGGATGGTACACTTGTTAAATGCGAGATTTATGGTGAAGTTCAAGTAAACTCTCATCTCTCTGGTCTTCCTGATTTGACTCTTTCATTTGCAAATCCCTCTATTCTGGATGATGTGAGATTTCATCCATGTGTACGGTATCGACCATGGGAATCTCATCAGATTCTTTCGTTCGTCCCTCCTGATGGACAATTTCGGCTCATGAGTTACAGGTGTGAAAATATGTTGTCCATTTCCGGAAGTATTGTGAATGGTCAAAACATCATGAGTTTTGTTTAATTTAAGTGGCGTCCTAGCTTGAATGTGAATGGCCTTTGCTTGATTTGAGTGGTGTCCTAGCTTGTAGGTGAATTCTTTCTAATTTTCAACTGCCACATTGAATATGTATCCTTTTAGATAGATTGACTTCAGAAACAACCCCGTGCCTTAGGTGAAAAATTAGAAACATCTTGAGCTCTGTCCTTTGTTTATCAATTCGTCTGTTTTAAGTTCGTTGCTTTTTGCTGTACAGAGTTAAAAAATTGAAGAGCATCCCTTTGTACTTAAAGCCACAGCTGACTTCAGACGCTGGGACCTGCCGATTAAGCCTGTTAGTTGGAATGCGGAACGATCCAGGAAAGACAGTTGACTCAATCGTCGTGCAATTTCAATTGCCTCCTTGCATTTCAACTGCTGATTTGAGCTCAAATTGTGGAACAGTTAACATTCTTTCAAATAAGGTACTTGCTAGCGTAATTTAATAATACTCAGTCATTTGATTGTTCGTGGTGCTTGTCTTGCGCTCTTTTCATTGAAGACTGTATTCCTTTTGATTCATCCATTTCTGCAGACATGCTCTTGGTCAATTGGACGGATTCCAAAAGATAAATCCCCTTCATTGTCGGGAACATTAGTCCTTGAGTCGGGACTGCAACGTCTTCATGTCTTCCCTACATTCCAACTGGGTTTCAGGATAATGGGCATTGCTCTGTCTGGCTTGCAAATAGATAAGCTAGATCTAAAGAACTTACCTCATCGTCCTTACAAAGGTTTCAGAGCTCTCACTCGAGCAGGGCACTACGAAGTGAGGGCGTGATGTGCTTCAATTTACGGTGAGGTTCTAACTTGGAGGCTGTCTTACTCAGAGAAACTGGGGATCATGTGGAGGAACATTATTTTGTTCTTTATAAATGATTCTGGCACAGTTTCACTTGAAGCATCCTCTGTGATGCTATTGCTGATTAATGATGTAATTCTTGACTGCAGAGTGCTTCAGGTTCAGGAGAGTTTTTTTTATCTTCTTTTTGCCCTTTCAGTATGTAATTTTACATGATCGTGAAATTGAATTACACAGTTAATCAAAATAGCCGATTCGCCTCTAAATGTGGTTTCCTTGTTTGTAACCCTTATGTAAAACCATGCACATAAATTAGAAAGAGCAAAACCGAGCATCAAAGAGCAACTTTCGGACAAAACTTTGGCGATACTACTGCAAATTGATGCAGGCTTGAATTGTGACTGCGAATGCAAATTTGTTTTCAGTAAAGAAGAAAACAGAGCCTCAAGCCAGTTAAAAAAACTAGGACTTCACATTTCATCTAAGTTAATTAACCGGCCACCTTGTTTACTCTGGACGAACACATGACCTGGCGAAGATCATTCTCTTATTCCAGAAAGACATTTTCTGGTGTCTGTAGCCTCAACTCGTACCACTTATTATCCTCACTCCAGCGACTGAGAGATACCTCCGACCCTATTCCGGACAAACCACTCAATCTTGGGGCATAACGGCTAGTTCGTTATTGTCGGCATAAGATTTTATGTTCACCTGAAACAAAAGCAGATTCTTTCGACTACTTATTTTGGAACTAGAAACCAGTGCTCAGGGAGGCACACAATGCAGAAACACGCGATGCCATTGTCCAAACGCGCGAGAAATCGAGTGGAATGAGTTCCTTCTTTCTTATGAGGATTTCGCTATTGCCCAATGCAGAAACACGCGATGCTCCTTTCTTCTATCCAGTCGTATTGCGAGAACTGAAACTACTTCAGATTCGTCAAGTCGTCCTACATTGTCATTTTCCAAGATTCTGAGAGAAACAACTTGACAAAGGAATGATGCCCATTCCTTTTCAAGATCACAAGCTTCCCCCAAAAAAGTAAACAACCAGCCTCAGACAATGTGAACGTCAGCAGAAGCTCATGGCATTCCTCTTCCCCACTTGCCATGCCTCATCCCATGTGCTCAACATCAACTACTTCACAAATGCAGCAACATCAGGCATCTCCACAGCAGACCCAGTAAGTAACTCGTCGAGAATTCACATCTTAAAAGCGATGATGACGACGAGAGAGAGAGAGAGAGAGAGAGAGAAGACCCGCATGAGAGTGCGGAATCGAGCTTAAAAATTTCAACTTTTTTCCGGGTTCTCGTGGTTCTCCGATCGCTAAGAGGCAGTTCGGGATCTTCGGATCTCCGCGGCTGAGAAAAGACGACCCGGCTGGGATTCCGACCGACGTCCCACGTCGCGCTGCCGACGTGGCACGCTGGCCGGCCGCGCGCGGCCACGTCACCGGCGCCGGTTCCGAACCCGCTCCGCGGCGCTTTTCCGACGTGGCGCCCGTCCCTTGTCCGCGGTGAAAATTAAGAGCGATGACGTGGAAAATCCAGACGGCGGTGCGATTACGGGCCGCTAATAAATAATTAGATGCGACGTGGCGGCACGCCGGTGGTCGGGAGTTCTCCACCACGAGCTGGAGGCAGGCAGGGAAGGGCGAAAACGGTGGACACCTCGTCATGGACACGTCATCAATACTTATCCCTCTCTTCCGTTAATTAGATCGCGTGACTTTAAAATTAGAGAAAAATCCGTTCTTCTTCTTTTTATTAACCAAATGTTTTCCGTTGATCTCCGAAAAACACATCTTGAGAAATTGTCGGAAATTATATATATTTTTTTGCTAAGACCCTTTTATTTAGGATTACGCATGTCTTTTTATTAAGTCATTAATTGTAGAGTCCCGCTTATTTTCAAAAAATGATAGAAAATCGCATCATTTGATAAGAAATTACTAATGTTACCCACACACATATATGGTTTTTAGCTTTAGTACTCAAAATGAGAAAAATATGTAATTTTAATTCTCAACGGGATTATTAATAATGGGGACTATATTATTTTAATTTGATTATAAATATAGACACTAATTTTATTGTTTTTGAGCGACAATTTATCCATCAACTGAATTTTTTTTTTTTTTGGGGGGTCAAACATCAACCGAAAGTGGAAAAACCAAGAATATTTTTTTTTTTTAAATTTTCTCTGGGAAGGGGGATAGCGAGGTAAATTCGCGCTTTTCACCGTTGGCCATTCGTCGTCTCCAAGGCAAAGGAAAAAGCCTCCTCTCTCTCTCTTCGCCGCTTGTATAAAAACGGGACCTTCCCATTTCTGCAGCCCACGTCTTCGCCCTCGCCCTCCCCGTTTCTCCCACCACCCGAAAACCAAGTTCGAATCACCTCCCCTTCTTCTGCATCCACAAGTTGTTCTCGCTCCTGCGGTATCTCTCCCTGTAAGCGAGACCCACGTCTCAAAAATCCTCATCTTTTTCGACGCCCGATATCGCCTCGACGAGTCGTGGCTGCGTGCGCGCGCGCGCGTGTATGTAGGTTCAATGGATTGCTGAGCACGTCTTCGTCCTTTTGCGACTTTGATTGGCTCCTTGTTACGACCCAGATCGGTATTACTCGTGATGAATGCGTTTTTGCATCTGGGAAGCTCGACCATGAAGCCTGCTTGTAGAATTCTGTTTGCCACCAGATGTCCTGTGCCGTTTGGATTCATTCCTGCCAAGTGTAACCGTGCGGGATCAATGGGTGCTTTGGCGAGCTCCCGCGTCGATTTCGGCCGATGCCTTTTGCACGCCGATCGATGCCGGGCCGTGGATTTCGGCCGCGCAATTGATGGGGTCCGGAACACTCTTTGCGTGCCCGGGTCGGGTTTCGGGCGGCCCGGGAATTTGTTGAAATCGCGCGGTTTTCGTGGTAATGTTAGTCATAGAGGGGTTGTGGTTGTTGCTAATGCTGTTAGGAGTTTGTCGACTTCGGTGGAGACCCGTGTGAATGACAAGAATTTCGAGAGGATTTATGTCCAGGGTGGAATGAATGTGAAGCCGTTGGTGGTTGAAAGGATTGATAAGGATGAGAATATTGTAGGAGGGGAGGATTCTAGTGTAAAAGTTGTTGATGATAACATAAATTTGGAGAAATCTAAGGCTGGTCTGAACGAGTCCAATGATGTTAGTGCTAAGAGAGAGGAAAGTCGGGTCGAAAAGGAGGCGTGGAGGTTATTGCAGGATGCTGTTGTTATGTACTGTGGGAGCCCCGTGGGGACCATGGCGGCGAATGACCCGGCGGATAAGCAGCCACTGAATTATGATCAGGTGTTTATTCGTGACTTTGTGCCGTCTGCCCTAGCCTTCTTGCTCAAGGGAGAAGGAGAGATTGTGAGGAACTTTCTCCTTCACACATTGCAATTGCAGGTCCGTCTTCATATTGCTTATGCTTCACCAATTAATCCTTGTGCCCATGTGTATATGTCTCTGAATTTCATAGGTGCGTGTCTTGCTGCTAGTTTCTCTCAAGTTATCAATCGAATGCAATTCAAACCTTTCCCTTTACTTTGCTGCTTGGTATAACTAACATGTTTTTCTGATATTGAGCATCACTTGCCTGTGTGAGTTCCCTCTACTCTTGAGATTTTGTTGCTTTTGGTGTGAACTTATTTGGGCAATTGAAAGCTCTGTTGGCTAATATCTGGTATTTTACTTATTATGGGTATGCAATGCTCCATGAGTTTGTGGCTTTGCACTCTGCAAGTTAGTTTCCATGTTCTGGTTTATATAGGTGGTCACATGATAGTTTGATTCTCCAGGATGCATGCTTATCGATTTCATAGTCTCTGAGAGCAGATCTTTTTCCTATGGTCTGAAACTTTGTTATGCTCGATTTGAAAGTATATTGTTTTGAACTGCTGCCTTTGTCGTAAAGGAAAATTCTTAATTAGCTCAAGAGCTGATTTCAAGAGATGCACCTTTTGGGTAGTTGAGTATTTCAAGTAATGAAGATTGTCTATGTTTTGGATTCCAGAATATGATTCATTTTGAATTACGTGAAAGTCTGAACTCTTGTATGGCATTTTTTCTCAGAGTTGGGAGAAGACAGTGGATTGTTACAGTCCTGGGCAGGGTTTGATGCCTGCAAGCTTTAAAGTTAGGTCCGTGCCTCTTGATGAAAATAAAGTTGAAGAGGTTTTAGATCCTGATTTTGGCGAGTCAGCTATTGGGCGTGTTGCCCCTGTAGATTCTGGTTAGTCCTCTATGAAAGATATAGATGATGCTCTATAGTTTAGATCATGATCATGATCTAACTATATGGATATGTCTAACTTTGACTTTTCTGCTGAGTATCCCATTGGCAAACAACTGGTTTTTCAACATTTCCATTCTGCTGTAGCTATTTAGGACCTGACTTTATAGCTTGCTTCTCATTTTCTTTGTAGGGTTGTGGTGGATTATCCTGCTAAGGGCTTATGGGAAGATCACTGGTGATTATGCATTGCAAGAGAGAGTGGACGTCCAGACTGGCATCAAATTGATTATGAACCTGTGTTTAACTGATGGTTTTGATATGTTCCCTTCTCTGCTTGTTACTGATGGCTCCTGTATGATAGATCGAAGGATGGGTATCCATGGTCACCCTCTGGAAATTCAAGTAAGTGCACTTGGGTTTAAGCTATTTGAAATTCCAATCTTCTGTCTGTGCTTGTTAAAGTAAGAAACATTAACAGTTCCCCATTTAGTTTTATGGAATTAGATATTGGCTGTCTCATGGCGCTGTTTATTAACTACCATTTGTCGACATCGGTAAAGTAGAAATTCCTGATTTAGACTTTTTTAATACCATTGATATTTGGACGGTAGGAGAATACTCAAGGTCTTGTTTTTTGAACATTATAGAATTTCTGCAAAAAGAATCATGTACCAAGCAAAAAGAATGGTATACTCCCCTCCCCCCCCCCCCCCCCTTTTCTTTTCTTCTTCTTTTATTGCAAGTTATAATTATACCTTGTGTGGACTTAACTTTTTATCGTGGTAATTTTAAATTGTTCGGACAATGTGCTGTTTGTTTTCGTATTCTGCTGTGATTTGTAGGTACCTGGGTTGGAAATTTTTTTTACCTGTGAACATAATGACGCATTGAAAATATCAACTCCTAAAGGCAGAAGTTAGAATATCCGCTCTAGTTTGGCTGCTGTTTTTCTATTTCTTTTTGACCTGTTCTAGTACCTGACTTCTTTTGAAATTCTGAGGAGTTTGCTTTCACTTGGTTCACTGAAGAGTTGGTTCGTCTCAATCACGAAGCACTTTGATTTTTCAGGCTTTATTCTATAATGCACTGCGATGCTCTCGGGAGATGCTTAGTGTAAATGATGGCTCCAAGAATTTGGTGAGGGCAATCAACAATAGGCTGAGTGCTCTTTCTTTCCACATTAGAGAATATTATTGGGTAGATATGAGGAGGATAAACGAGATTTACCGTTATAAAACAGAGGAATACTCAACAGATGCCACCAATAAGTTCAATATCTATCCGGACCAAATTCCCTTGTGGTTAATGGATTGGATTCCAGAGAATGGCGGTTATCTGATTGGCAATCTGCAGCCAGCTCACATGGATTTTAGACTCTTCACCCTTGGGAATCTTTGGTCAATTGTTTCCTCATTAGGTACCCCAAAGCAAAATGAAGCTATTCTGAATTTGATTGAATCCAAATGGGATGATCTTATTGGGCATATGCCTCTAAAGATCTGTTATCCTGCTTTGGAGCATGAAGATTGGCGTATAATTACTGGAAGTGATCCAAAGAACACGTAAGTCTCTGCTTTGTTGCAATCGTGCTTTTGCACTTGATTTCTTGTCCTAATTGATTGTTGCACATTATGTGAACTATTGCCTTCCACTAACAAGGAATTCCATCTTTTAATGTTCAGTCCTTGGTCATATCATAATGGAGGCTCTTGGCCAACCCTTCTGTGGCAGGTGAGCTTGATCTACCCACCTTTTTGAGTATTTCTCAACTGAAATGGTTTTCTCAAGCTTGACATTCATTATATATGCGTTATGCAAATTTTAAATTACTCATCCATATTTCATTCTGTTTATGTTTAGTTCACATTGGCATGCATCAAGATGGGAAGACCGGAATTAGCCGAGAGGGCAGTAGCCTTGGCTGAGAAGAGACTTTCAGAGGACCGTTGGCCAGAATACTATGATACTAGAACTGGGAGGTTCATTGGAAAGCAATCACGACTCTTCCAAACGTGGACAGTTGCTGGTTTCTTGACCTCGAAAATGCTTCTGGAGAACCCGGAGACAGCATCGAATCTGTTCTGGGAGGAGGACTACGAGCTACTCGAAGTCTGCGTCTGCGCACTGAGCAAGTCGGGAAGGAGGAAATGCTCTCGAGGTGCTGCGAGGTCTCAGATACTGGTCTGAGAGGCCGAGTTCATTACCAGACACGGGGCTCGCTTGATCTTCGCATGATTCGGTATTACGGATTCTTGTCTAACAAAGGCTACATTCTTTTGAGGGCGGTAGAACACCTCACGTATTTGTACAGTTACTGAGTTTAGGATATAGACTTGTAGAGCTTGGAGCCGCAAGTTCTTACTTGATAGTGAGAGCATAAGGGTTACCGGTCATTTATACATAGTTGTTAACTTGTTAGCCAATCAATTACTACGTTGATTGGAATAGACTCTGCACAAGTGAAATGTGGTGATAGAGATAGGAAATTAGCAAAGACTTCATGTGATTCTTGGTCTGTAACTTATACACATCAATAGTGTTCACTTGCACAGAGTGTTCTGGCATTTTGTTATTAGTTACCTGAAATGTCGTCATTTATGTCCTGCTTATGTAATGTGCTACCCATTTTTATATTTTTAGTGTTAATAAACTCTTGTTAACAGCAACTTCTCTGGCCATATGTACATGATTCCTAGGAATCGTAGATTCGATCTCCAGATTCGCCCGACAACAGAGATGATACGTGGCCAACCTCCATTTGACATAGCGCAGCACGTTCCGATAGATTTCGTTGTTTCATTTCTACTTATTGTTTAGGGTCGAAAGCGCTTCTGGAAAAAAAAAAAAAAAATACTTGCCCAAAAGTCTGGTCCAGGAAGTGTTCCTTGTGACAAGTACAGATTTCCTTATCTAGAAAAGTAACCATTTGATCGAAGCGACAGAACACAAGGCAAGCTCATCCCATACCGTCGACGTGATAAAAAAGCAAAATCTTCCTAGAATGAGTCTAATCTGAATAGAGATCTTAAATCAGCATTGACCCTCTTAAGCGAGCTCATTGATCAGGTTATTAATTAGGGATAAATATATCGAAAGTCTTAAAATTTATCACGAAAATACAATCGAGTCCTAAAATTTTCAAAAAAGTGCAATTAAGGAAAAGGCTTGATTGGCCAATTTGACAAGTTTTAAGATTTAATTGCTGCTTTTTGAAAGTTCTAAAACTCAATTTCTAAGTTTTAAGAATTGATTGTACTTCTTAAAAGTTTTAAAACTTAATTGCTAGCCCGCTTGGTTCCGCCTGCAAATTAGTTACTCGCCATCGCCAAACACATTTTCAGTCGCTTCTGCTTTCTTCTGAGCCGAGCATAGCCTTTTTCATGCGGCGCAGAACTTCGTCTCAGCTGTGATCTGTGATCTGAGACGGTGTTTTGACGGTCACAGCGATGAAGCAGGGTCGTGCTTAGGGAGGCTATGAGCGGGCACGGCACTATCCATGAGTGCCAAGAAACTACTATCCACGACGACCCATTACCGATCAATACCAAAAGTAGTGCTGAACTCACTCAGGCGGGTCCGAAACTGCATAACCCAACCGAACCCACCATTCTTGCCGAAGGACTCATCGTTTTTGTCCACGGATTTGGTCAAAACGTACTTCGAGAGTGGACTGGTGAAGGAAGCTCGCGTCCTGTTCGACGAAATGCCTCATAGAGATGTGGTTGCTTGGACGACCATGATTGCTGGCTACTCTTCTAACAACTGCTACGACGAATCGTGGGCTGTGTTCTGTGAGATGGTTCGGAACGAGAAGGAGCCAAATGAGTTTACTTTATCCAGTGTCTTGAAGGCTTGCAAAGGCATGAGAAGTCTTTCGCGTGGAGCGTCGGTCCACGGCTGGGCTATCAAGCTTGGCTTGGATGCGTCTATGTATGTTGAAAATGCACTTCTGGACTTGTATGCTACGTGCTGCTCTAGCATGGACGATGCCTGCATGGTTTTTCGCCATATTCATGTGAAGAATGAGGTCTCTTGGACTTCATTGATCACCGGGTTTACCCACCGAGGAGATGGCTATAGCGGGCTTAGCGTGTTTCACCAAATGTTATTGGTATGTGTGTTTCATGTCTTGAACAACCACCTTTCATCAATTTGCTTTGGATGAAGTTAATTTGATCTTTTTAAGCAGAATGTGGTCATTTAGGATGCCCACAGTTCATTTTCCTCTCAAGTGGTCTCAACCTAAACTAGTTTTTCACATTATTTATGCGCTTTATGTCAAATCAGGAAGGAGCTGAACTGAACCCATTTAGCTTCTCAATTGCAGTTAGAGCTTGCGCCTCAATTGGGTCTCGAGTTTTTGGCCTGCAACTCCATGCATCAGTTGTCAAGCACGGGTTTCACTCCAATCTACCTGTCATGAATTCTATTTTAGACATGTACTGCAGGTGTTTTTGCTTATCTGAGGCGAGTCAATGTTTCCACGAAATGCACGAGAAAGATGTAATCACGTGGAACACCTTGATAGCTGGATATGAAAGACCAGATTCTAGTGAGGCCCTTCTTATATACTCTAAAATGGAGTCCCGAGGGTTTCAACCGAACTGCTTCACATTTACAAGCGTTACAGCGGCATGCGGTAATTTGGCACTTACAAAATGTGGACAACAAATTCATGGGGTAATTATTCGAAGAGGACTTGAGGGGAGCATGGGGCTTGCTAATGCACTCATTGACATGTATGCCAAGTGTGGAAGCATAATTGATTCACATAGAATATTCATTTCTATGTCTCACAGGAACTTGCTCTCTTGGACATCTATGATGATTGGATTTGGTGCTCATGGACAAGGAAGAGAGGCCATTAAGTTGTTTAAAGACATGGTCAGGTCAGGCGTAAGACCTGATCAAATTGTATTTATGGCCGTCCTGAGTGCTTGCAGCCATTCTGGTCTTGTGGATGAAGGGTTGAGGTACTTCAAACTAATGGGTGAATATAATGTTACCCCAAGCCACGAGGTTTACGGGTGTGTGGTGGATTTGCTTGGCCGCGCAGGGAGAGTGGAGGAGGCTTATCAATTGATAGAGAGTATGCCATTTAGACCTGATGAGTCTGTCTGGGGTGCTCTTCTTGGAGCTTGTAGAGCACACCGACTTAAGAAACTGGGAAAATTAGTGGCACAGAGGGTACTGGACTCAAGACCAAGGTTGGCCGGAACCTACGTGACCCTATCAAACATTTATGCGGCTGAAGGTAAATGGGTGGAGTTTGCACGAGTTAGGAAGTTAATGAGGGGAATGGATAGCAAGAAAGAGACTGGGAGGAGTTGGATTGAGGTTGGAAACCAGATTTCTACCCTCGTTGCTGGAGATAAAATGGTTCCTAGGGTGCATGAAATTCTTGGATTTCTAATTTGGGACATGAAAAAAGCGGGATATGTGCCTGACCTAGATAATACAGGCAGGCCTAGCAAAAGAAAGAAAAAAAGAAGATAGCATGGACAGAAAAAAAACGATAAACAGCCTGAGAATCACGGAGACTTGAGACTGGCCTCATGTGTCTGCATGATTTGCAAATTTGTGTGGAGCGGTCGATGCAATTATTGATAATGCAGTTTTTGAAATTCCCAAACAGCTCAAGATGGTAAAAACTTTTGCCATTATACTGTTGAGGTGATTTTTGTTGGGAAACAGATATCCTTCTTCAGTTCACAGTCAGAAGCAGAAAAACGCGAAGAAACATCTTACGCAAATTGATAAATGGTTGATCGAAGCTTTAATTTGTTCGATCACTCCTGTTACCCATTTTTTATCTCCTTGGGCTGAATTTTTTGTGAATTCAACCTGTGATCTGTTGTTGAATTAATTCATAGAAGCTGTACAGTTCAGGCCCCATTTTTCCCAGAATAGTGAGATGACGAAGCGCGGTCATTGGGTCTTGCGTATTCTGGCACTTACGACTTCGCAACACATCAAATGAGAGGAGTCTCTATTGTATGTTTGTTTGTTCACATGAAATTGGCTTGTTCATACCTTTTATATGTATGTTCATCTGGATGAAGCTAACAGATAAGAGAAACAAAAATTGATTCCACTGACACTACTACTCAGCTAGTGTAATTCTTCTCAATAAAATCTTCAATTGTGTTGATATGGTCCAGTGTCTGTGTATCTTAAGTTAAAATTCCAGTGTCACTAAAGTTCAAACATGGGATTATGGCTGTGAAAGATCCTGATATGCCTAGAAGAACAGGATCAGATGCTATTGAGATGGCCAGCCTTGTGCAGGATGTCAACCAATGAACTCATCCTTGGTTATAGCTCGTGATTTGGGGCCTATTTGGTTCAACTTTGAAAATGCTACTTGGGATAATGCAAATACCTTTGGGTGAAAGCCCGTTGAGGAAATACAAATGGTGTTTGGTAAAAATATTTTGTAAAACTACTTTGGCCAAAATATAGTGTTTGGTGAATTTTTTTTGCAAATGGACTTTAGGAAGAAAAAACCTAACTTAACCTTCGCCGGAGCCGGCGTCGGCCGGCTGCCGGCGAGCCAGATCTGGCACCGGCGGCCGTCGCCTAAGGTCGGGCGATCACCAGCGGGCCAGATCTGGGGCCGGCGGCCGTCGCCCGAGGCCGGGCGACCCTCGGCGAGGGTCGCGGGACCCAAGCGGCAGCCTGAGTCGCGCAACCCAGGCGGCGGTCGCCTGGGTCGCGCGACTCAGGCGGCCGCTTGGGTCCCGCGACCCTCGCCGAGGGTCGCCCGGCCTTGGGCGACGGCCGCCGGCCTCTTGCCGGCTCGATCCGGCGCCGGCCGCCTCGCCGGCCACCTCACGAAGAAGAAGATGATGAACAGTACACACGAGGGGCAAAAGTGGGTTTTTGGACAAATTTTGAGGATAAAAAAGGCAACTAACATATTTCATTAAATGAGGTACTAGCATTCCGAGAATGCTGAAAGCTCAAGGCACCCTAGGAGGTGCCTTGAGCTTTCAGCCTTGAGAAGGCCAACGTTTGGCTAAAGAGCTCCAAAAATAATTTGCCAAACACAAAATAATTCCCACAAAGGGCTTTGGAGGCTCAAAGCTCAACCAAACACTCTCTAATCTTCCCAATCATATTGTTAATAAATTTGTCATCCCTCGGGGTTGGTGCAATTGGTTGATGGATTTGGGGATTTCAAACGTCATTCATTTGCATGTGAACAATTGTGTATAAACTATTTTGAGTTAGGGCCATCTGTATAGATAAAAAATCTAGACTTAACTAATTGATAGGGCTTACAAGGTATCCTATGGGCCAGTCGAATCTCCAATCTCATGTCCTTGGATTTATAAAAAAAAACAAATAAATGAATCGTCAGTCTTAGTTATTCTGATGAATATGGTGACCATTTATAAAATTACTCTTAGTAATCAATATTTTCATCTTGTCTTGATATAAATCAATGATTTATAACAAAGTCAATTCTTAAATTTTGTTACCGGTAATTTGCCAACGGTCGAGCGCCGTAAATTGGGGTGTCATGAGATTTCCAGCTCGTGAATTAGAGATCACTTGTTCAAATCCTGCCAGCTGACGGCATGTAAATTGTTTTGGGTCAGGGCCACCATCGACCTATATGGAAGGTCTGAGCTTAACCGTTTCATGAAATTCCGGGATGTTCCATGGGCTTCCAGATAACCTTTCAAATTGCTTAATATACCGATTTTGCATTTCAGAACGAATTTAGTAAGGATGACGAAAAGTTAGATGATTAGATGTGATTAACTCGGGCTTGCGTGACTACATCAACGCCAAGATTATATAAATGGATTGATAGTGGTGCGTCTAACTACTACAAGAAACATAAGTGATAAGAGAGTTGCGTGAATCGATCGGGGAAATGAAAAGTGATGAAGATGTCTGCGACAAATACAAGCTGGCTCTCTCATTTTGCCAAGGTCGATAAAGTTCCATTGATCCTAAAGCTAAAGTTTTGGCAAAAAAATGTGGTTGGCCCAATTTTCACTCTCTTTTTGGCTCCTGACATACCGTATTACAATGAATTGACTACATTATTCCTTGCAGGTCTCACTCTTGATTTAAGATTATCTTGTACATTTTTTTCTTCCTTTTCTTTTGTTTTAATTTTACTAAAAGACAAAATTACCTACATTCAGTTCAAACAACTTTTTTTCACATTACCAACTTCTTCCACACCCATTACATTTTAACATTTCCTTTACGTTTGTCTTTGTATGAACTTAGTCTCCATTGTTATAATACGAGCAAACACTAATCATATGCCGGATTAAAGAAATATTAGTTCTATCTGCAAATTATTTACTTTATTTCCCTAGATTATTCTCACGATCGTGGATTTTTTAACTTCGATATTGTGGTTGATGTGTGCATTATGCACAATTTACTCATTTTTAATTGTATTGTTTTTTGTAATGCAATCACTATGGATGACAATATTGTTATTTGTTTAAATGTATCTATTGATGATGAAACTGCAAATGGAGAAGAGCAATCAATCAGGTCAACAAGTTCACTTGAAACTTTACTAGGTAATTTTCTATCACAGGAGGATCTTTTGAGTAGTGAGCGGATGCATCTTCTTGCTCAAGGTTATGTTGTCTTTATAAAAAGGTCAAAGAGAGACAGATATGTTCTTCTTGGTTGCGATAGGGAGGTAATTACCATGATCGACGTAATTATTTCTATTGCACTTCAGAGAAGAAAGATCGGATTTCGTTTGATTGACTGTCATTTTGAAGTCTGTTGCTATAAACAGAAAAAATGGATCAGAGTCGATCGAAATATTAAATACATCACACAATAAATAATTAAAAAATTGGCTATTAAATTCATTGAATAAAATAAAAGTTGAGCAGTTAAAATACACGGATTACAACCTAACGACACATATTAAAGTTATAATTAAACGGAAATGCGTCCTAAAACTGGGAGATGATTCTTTTCACTGTTAATTGTGCTTAGTTAGCTTCTACCAAATATATATATATAGGAAAAGAGATGCACCAATCTTGTTTCAAACGAAGAAAGAAAAGGGGAAAAACCAAAAAAGAAGAAAAGGAGAAGGCAAGCAATACTGCCAAATCAAGAGCGGGCCCCGGATTTTACCCTTTAATAAGTACCGTTCTAGAGGAGCATGGGGGCGGCTTCAAGCCTCCAGCCAAATCGAAACAAAAGAAAAAAAAGGGAAGAAGAAGAAGAAGAAGAAGAAGAAGAAGAAGAAGAAGAAGAGGAGGGCAAGAAATGATCTATAGCCGAGAGAGGGAGGGACCCGTATGGGAATAGCGCCAGTCAATTCAACGTGAAAGGGGCGTGTCGTGTACGGATTGGCATATCAAAACGAGGCGAGCCGACACGAAAACAGCAAATCACTACGCAAACGGCAACCCAAGCCGACACGAAAATTCGGTGTCGGCTGCTGCCCCAATTTGACGAGAGAGCGAGTCTTGTGCGTATTCCTCTAAGATCGAGCCGAGGTGGGAAGAATCACGCCTGGGAATAATACGTCAGTTTCCCCCCCGCTTTCAACCCCATGAAAATTGCACGGTGAACGTGCCACACAATGCTGGCATGTCCTGATCGATCCCATCGAATGTCCAAACTTCTCTCGAACGCGAACTCTTTCCTCGTTGATTTTTTTTTTTTGTTTGGTCAGGGGTGTCTTTGCGACCCCCGACAGGGCCTCCCTTGCGGTCAACATCTCTCCCTCGAATCAAGCCGGAAATCCGTCGCTTCCCTCCTCCCCCTCCTCCTGCTCCCTTTCCAATGCCCCCCCTTCTCGATCTCGAGCAAGGATGTCATCATAGCCTTCTTTGTGATGCCGCCGAAGTAACTGAAAATGTGCTCACTGGTTTCCCTAAACAGGGTGCACCCACATTGTCATCATCGCCTATGACCGACGAAGTGCCGAGGCCCTGTCAAATCGAGCCGGCGCATAGTTAGTCGACGGGCGATTCTTGACAGCGACCCATGGCTACAACTCGGAACGCGACACGGATATTTTGTGAGGAGCCAGAATTCGGCGCAGCTCGAAGCTGACTAGAATCGACATGGTCTCGTTCGATTTTTTCAAAACGACGCTTTGGTTTGATTTCGAAGAATTTTTGGTATCTGCATGAAATGACGCGAGCTTTTGACACGGATAGAAGAGATGGATACGAATTACTGGCCCAGTGTATCATAGGATGTAAGCGTTACATGATTTTGTTGTCCTTGAACCTGTGAAGGTAGGGCACATGCTGGGAAAATCTATGGATTTACGATGAATTTAAAGGACGACGTACAATAAGTTTTGACTTTCAAAAGATGATTTTAAACCAATTGCGAAGGTAATATGGTTAGCACAAATAATAACTTGCCTAATTTTCACCTGATTCAGGCTTAACCGGGCCAGGCCTGCCCATTTACCCACCATCGCGCGTTTCTTCGCAATTTCACCGGTCGAGCAAACCCGTCGCCGTCGCGATCACAAGCACGTTTCTCAGGTACATTGTCGAACAGGTGGGTAACATGAATTCTAGATTCAATTTCAACGCACTTCTCAGTTTAAACATGAAACACAGAGACCTAAATCAACATATTATCCATTACAATAGCAGCTCTACTTTCACACGATAGAGCCGTGAATCTGCCGATTAAACTTGGCGTCTCTGATTTCAAAGAAACAGTGAAAACAGAGCTGAAAAGGAGTGCCTACCTACCTGATTCCGATGGTAGGGGGAAACGTTTGTCGCTCCACGGCCAAGTCAATGAACTCGGAAGGTATGTCTCTCTTCAATACTATGTTAAGAAGTTCGGCTTAAAAACTTAAGCCATTAAGTTAAAAGACTTACATGTTTGTGAGCCCATTGAAATCCCATATTTTTCTTTGGTCGAAGAAACCCCATACTTGACCGGTGGGAAATAACACTTTTAACAGGTTTATTATTCCTAACTGGTGAATCATGACCATATCTTGGTTCGAATATAATTATATGAGTTCTTGCTCACTTCCATTCATACCTTAGAGTGGAATAGTTGTGTGCTTCTGTCAAATTCAAGGAGACTTACATAATAGCAAAAGTCCAATGTATGGCGACTCCGGCAACTTTGATATTGGCACGAGCTGAGCTGTCATCGATTATTGGA